GTTTCCTATGTCTTACTTTGTACAATATAGTTTAAGAATTATAATTATTTTCTTATAATCAATAACACATTAATAAAAGTGATACATTTTTCAAATGGAGATAATTGAAACTGATACTGTTAATTAACATTATTAATATATAAAGAGTTTGCTTTAGCTGCTATAAATTTAATTGAATCTCTAAGTGCTGCTAATTATCAGATACGTCACATCATATTTACACAGAAAACAAAATATCTAGATATTGCGTAATACGTCTTCAAATATTCCGCACTGAACGAAAACACTTCTGCTTTATATAATATCAAAATTACTCTTTCATTTTATGAATTATGAACTTCTCGTCATTTATTTTCAATTAATAAAACTTTGATTAAATTAAATTACTTTTTTAATTAAACTCACACAGAACAATTCAATTGAGCAATTACAAAAAAAAAACGTAAAATACAAAAATCCAGACTTTGTTCAACAAGAAAATCAGAAACTTTGATTAATAGCTCACTTCTTAAATTGATTTTTCTATGCTTTTACACATTTGGATTAAATTTATAATAATAATTTTTGTAAATTGGGTTTTTTTTTTTGCAATTCATTCTTCTTCATAGAGATTTAATTAAAAATATGGTTTCCACTTAAATAGTTAATTTCGTTAATCACGTTGTAATTAAAAAAAAAACTTTAAATTTAATATTAGATAAATTTTAAAATATTTTGTTGTTTCACTGATCTAATCGCTAGTAGAAAATTACTAAAATGTGACGACAAAATAAAAAAGTTTAAAGTCCTCAAAATTTTTTAGTTTTTAAACTAAAATAAATCCTCATAATATTACATTTTAATTTGTGTTTGAATCAATTAATTATTGAAATGAAACAACATATGTTTCAAGAAAGGAATGAAGAATAAATCAAATAGTGTTAGTATTATTGCTTTTGAAAACTTTGATTAATAGCTCACTTCTTAAATTGATTTTTCTATGCTTTTACACATTTGGATTAAATTTATAATAATAATTTTTGTAAAATGGGTTTTTTTTTTTGCAATTCCACTTATATAGTTAATTTCGTTAATCACGTTTGTAATTAAAAAAAAAAACTTTAAATTTTAAATTATTTTGTTGTTTCACTGATCTAATCGCTAGTAGAAAATTACTAAAATGTGACAAAATAAAAAAATTTAAAGTCCTCAAAATTTCTTAGTTTTTAGACTAAAATAAATCCTCATAATATTACATTTTAATTTGTGTTTGAATTAATTAAATATTGAAATGAAACAACATATGTTTCAAGAAATCAAATAGTGTTATGAATTGTATAGTCTTATATTATATTGCTTTTGAAAAAAAAAGTGTGTATAGTTGAGTCTTTTTGTGCGTGTTTTCTGTGTTCTATTATTTAGTTGCCCATAGGCGAGGACATTTCTTTCTTTCTTTGCTTTTCGTAAGGGCTGTGAATTGTTTCGTGAATTTTTGCCGCATTGCCGCTGAAGTCAGGGGGGTTTAAGTGCAGCACGTCACGGACTTTAATTATCCTCTAAGCAGATGTTCACAAAGTTGGTCTATATTGCAGCGAGCACAGGAAGAGTGCGAGAAACAAGTTGCTCCTATTAGGAGTACAAGAAGAAGAAGAAAAAAAAACGTTCATGTGAAAATATTAAAAATGTAATGTGTAAGTGTTGTATGCTGCATTGGTATCGATTTTTCCAGACACATACGCGTTTACTTTTTCAGGGTACGAGTTGATGATGAAGATGTAAACAGTGATGATATTTGTAACGCTCCGAAAAGAGGTAAATATTTATGTGGACTGTGCGTGGTGTGTGATCGAGTTTGGGTGTCGTCGATAGATCGAACAGATAGATAGATGGATGAGTTTCAGAAATCGTGATTGTGTGTGTGTGTATTTTTTTTACCTCGTCGTAAATGAAATTGTCGATCTCCTCGAGTGGTCTGCCGTAGAGCGTCTTGGGGAAGGGCTCGTATTTGGCCGGCAATCTTGAGCCGTCCTCGACACTGAGCTTCCTGCGCGGTTGAAAGCCATACTCCTTGACCAGTTGCACTGTTTTGCGCTCCAGACGTTCCAGAGACTCTCTGGTGAAGGGCTTGACCTGAGCCTTCCTGGTGGTGGGCCGCGGCGGATCCGAGTTCCGCTTGGCCGGGCTGAAGTCCTCCGGCAGCTCGACCTTATACTCCGGGCCCCACGGATAGGAGACGGGTCTCCGCGGTTTGCGGTCCTCATCGTCCACGGCACTCTTAACATCAACTTTTACTTCCGGTTCCCAGGGCAAGAGGTCCGAATCGCGGTCGCCCGGTATTGACATCGTACTCTTCTTCGGATGGGCTTTTCAGGATCTTCAGGTTGTTCTCGCTAAGGTCGACGGTGGTAGGCCTTCGGGCCTGCAGCAACGCGATACGGCATGGCGAAGGTCTCGCGGTCGACTGACGCTAAGGCCCAGCATTTTCAGCATCTGCGGCGACGGCGCTCCAGTGGCGGCGGCGAAGCTTTCACGTTTTTCAACAGCGATCGATTTCAAATTAAGTTATCCTCAACAAAGTGCCACAATATGCCATTTGCCATGCATCCGAAACAACCCAACTCAACCCAATCTCCTTCATCCTGTTTCCATACGCACCCGACGAACATCACCAACAATAACCATCGACACCAGTTTGACAGGTTGCAAAATTCAAATTTGAAAATTCAAAAACAATCTTTGTTTCAGCACAGTAGTTTTCATCATTCCAGTTTTTTTTTTTTCGGATTTCCATTCGCATTCCTGTTCGGGTTTCATTAAAGTCGTGTTGGGAAACCCAACGATCCGGGTCGTTTAGGAAATGTAGTTTGGGTCAGCAGGTGGTGGCCGCAGGTAAGCCCTCTTCTGCTACCCCCTTCTTAAATATCGACCCATATCTGCAGAGCTTGTTGCGTCACGCCACGTCACAATGAAAGTATGAATGCGGTGGAATGGCTGAAATCAGTTCATACACATTAAATATTTATACATTATTTATTTGGATAAACCTTCCCCCGCAAACACACATACGAACACAAGCGACGTAAAAGAAATGTCATAACCTTGACTTGCCAACCCCGAACCGACATCTACAAAACGCTTGAAAAATTCAAACTTTTAATCCTCACTTCAGTCATTATTCTATTAACAACTAATGTAAGTGTATATTATTGTTCAATATCTTCGGTTCTTTACACACATTGATAAATTGAACTTTTAAATTAGGTGCGTCTTTTATATAAAAAAGTATCTTAGGAATTATTTCGAAAATTGGATATAATATGATAGTACTGAATACGAGCAGAAATAGTCCTTTGCAACAGTTAATTGTTAAATGCTTTATTATTATACAATTAAAATATATAAATAATATCATAATCAATAGAAGCCGTGTTTATAAAAAGATATTTAATATTAAGTAAATTAAGAAATTGGAAAATCAATGCATTCAATTAGGAAATTGTTGATTATATTTTCAAATTTCGTTGAGTACTAATAATAATTGATTAGTAAATAAGAAGATTACTTTTTTACTATTAGAAAGATAATGTAACATTAAGAAGAAATCATATTCAAATAATTGAATTTGACAATTTATATGTAGAATTTCAATTGTGAGTCGTTAAGTATTAGAAATATACTAATAATATAATTGGTAGTTTGAATTCGGTTTGTTGAATTTCTTTGCAGTAATTATTTTAATAACAAAATAGTTTTAACAATACATAATTGACTAAACTAAGTTTAAATTCATTTAATTTAAAAATAAAATTAAGTTAAGGTTTATTACCAATATAATTACACTTATTGTAGAAATTATGAAATTAATTCTCAAAAATTGATAAAATAACAATGTAATTATATCAAAACTATCAAGTATACAATGGACGCCATCTGTGTTTTAAAATTGTAACTAAAACATTAACATATATGTTAACTTATAAAGATTACATTTAATTTGTTCAAATAGTAAAACTGTGGATGCGCCGGGTTTAAAATTGTTTTTTTGAAATAATTATGGTAATAAACATTCACATTTTTTATCTACACGAGGACAATAAAATATTTATACGTCTGGTAGAAAAAAAATGTGGATGCGCCAGGTACAAAATGTCAATTTTACAATTTATTGACTTATATATTCTTTCCGACGATTCCTGATAAAAAAAAGTGTAAATCTAAATTATAATATTTTGAATGTAAAACCGTGAAAATCAAAAATTATGTAAATACGCATATTTTGAACATTTTTTTTTAATTTATTTTTTAAGAGAACACGTGTAAAGAAAGTACCGTATAAAACGAGGGATATGTGGATCTATCTTTTAAGATAAAACATTAAATCATAGGAAATCCATTTACGGTACAAAATAAACATAACTTATCCAAAATTTGATTAATTGAACAACAACACCTCTCTTACTCACAATATCAGTCGAGGTCTCGAAGTGGAGAACTTTGAGATGTTGCAGAAAAATTGATGTTTATGACGTTTTTGTACACATATTTAAAATTTTTAAGTGTAAAAAGTTTGAGAGAGACTGCTGTATAAAATGTCCCAAAACATCCAAAGTTTAATTAACTTAGTTTTTATTTCATACATAGTTTAAAATTATTTTTCATTTTAACATAAAACAATACAAAACAATTTTGTTAAATACAACCTGTTTAGAATAGGATTTTCTACGTATTCATATTTTTTTTTTGTTGTTAATTAGTTAATTTAATATAATGTGAAGGATTAAATAAAAATACTATTCGTACAGAATTTAAGATAAGTTTATTGATACGTTTAAAATTTCGTACAATCAATCTCAATATTTATTTACAGAATTTTATTTTAAGAGTTTCTTAAAAAAATATTATAAAGCTTGAAATTTGTAAACCTTAGCTATATTTACAAAGGATTAAAGTACGTTTTTTTTTTTATTTGTTGAACATTATGAGGAATTAAATAGCTAATCACTATTCACATACTTGTCGTTCCAAAATTGTTAGATTATTAATAACTATGTTAATATAGAAAATAGGTTTTCTCCAACAACAAGCATAAAAATAGAATATTATTATTATTATTAAATTGGTATTAAACATTTGAAATGGTATCAGTTTGCGTAAACATGACGGTTTCTATATATATAAATATTTGTAGATTGTCGCCCCTGTTCCATCGAGGTGATAAAGATTTCGATGCACGCAGAAGAGTGCATTTTTACATGTCCCCGGAACTGTCTTCCCTGGAGTCGACGTCCGTGGGATTCACGTACTTGTCGTGTAAAGTTCTCAGATGCCTGAGCAAATTGCTTTTAACGTTGAATCCTTTGCTGCAGTAATTGCAGTTGTACGGCCTTTCGCCGGTGTGCGTCCTCCTGTGGATCATCATGGAAGCATGGGATGGGAACTTCTTGTCGCAGATCGGACAGACCTTCTGGGAATAGGGGCCGGAGCATTTGGCGACGCTGGAAGAGCGGAGGGGTCGAATCGAGTGATCCAACGATGCGTTGCTGCTGCAGTTCGATTCCCTCATCTCCTGCTCGGTGTGCTCCGATTGGATGTGGTGCACCCATCTGGCAGGAGTCGGGAAGTACAGCTGACACATGTCGCATTGTAAAGGTGGAAAGTTGCCGGTGTCTTCTTCCTGAAAAATAAAGCAACGGTTAACGTCCCATTCATGGACATTTTTTGTTAAGGGATTATTAATTACAGGACGTCCGCGTTTTTGTCGCTTCGCTGGCATCATATCGGTGTGCGTCTGCACGTGCTTCACCCAATCAGCAGGTATCGTGAAGACCTCGGAACAAAGTTCGCAGGTTAATGGAGAGTACAGGTTCTCCGTTTCTACGGGAACATCCTCGATCTGTATCTCAGGCTTGATCAGCATACCAGACTTAAAGATGTCATCCTTCAGTATTTCCATTTCCTCTTGTGGCAGTTCCGTCCATTCGACCGGCTCCTCTTTGATCACTAGAATCTGCATTAAATCCTTCGTCGCATCTTTAATATCCTTGTTGACCTTCTCACCTTCACCATTCTTTTGATCATCAACTTTATCATCCATCAATGCGAAATCCGCAATCCTAATTTCATCCATCTTCACAGTTCTATCCTCTTTCTCCACTACCAATTCCTTCTCTGCATTCACTTCCTTCTGCTCATTACCATTATTTTCTACTTTATCTTCCTTCTCCACTTTATCCTCTTTCTCTATCTTCTCTTCTTTATCTTCAACTTCATCTTTATCTTCCATTTCCATTTTGTCTTCCTTCTCCTCCATCTCATCCTTCTCCTCTTTGTCAAACATCGGTATTTCCCTGGGAAACTCGAAATTCTCCACGATATTCTCTTTGTTCTCCTTGGACAGATCTGGGATTTGGATCGATACGGGCGTCGAAGTGTTGCTGTTGCTGCTCAAATGACAACTAGTCAACGTTTTCTTCACATCATATTCTTCGGTTCGGGGACGATAAAGACCTTTTATCTTCAGCAGATCTCCACCGGTCAGAACGTTATTCAATATTTCAGTGGAGACTGTCGCCTCTCCACAATACATGTACTGTATCAAAACCTTCATGGTTCTGTAATTTATGTCCGGCGGAAGAATGATGATCAGCGGAGCCAACGATGATATCCTTGCCTGCATCTTAAGCACTTGATTAAAGTATTGGCTGCACGCGGAGAGGATGAACCGATGCGCGAATAGCTGACGACCGTCTATCGTCAGCAGGATGACATCGGTAAAACAATCGCCGTTCACGGCTGACGCGACGCAGCCGTGCAGATGGTTTCCAAACGAATTCCATTTCAATTGGTAATGCGCCGGAGTTCCCTCCATAATCTACAAAATACACATTCATTTCTATTAAATCTTATATTTACGTAAACTTCTATGGTTGCAATACATCAATTAATATAGTTAATTAAGTGCACGTCAAGGGGATTCTGATTGATCGTATTGGTAACTTACAAACCTTTATTTTCTGTTACTTCTTCCTTGTCACTTTCACAGAACATTCAATGAGCATCTGAAAGAAAAGACAAACATAAACATTATAATATTCATAATGTAAACCTACAAACATGTTTTAATTTTATAGTATTAAATGACTTTTTTCTAGTTTCGGCCAATAAATGGCAACTGTAGATCCAATTCTACATAAAACAACAGCTAAAATCTAATATTTTACAAATTATTTAAATTAATACATCGAGAAGCGCTCATGTCGTTCATTCTCATAAATAAAACAGTCAAATAACTGTCATCCAATTGTACTTATTGTTTCGCCTGTTGCTCCCTCTAAATTTATAATAGTTAACCTTCTCAACAGCAACGATAAATTTGATTGAAAACATGAAAATGACGAAAAGAGAGTTTTGAATTACTTAATTTCTTTGGTGAATCATCTAAAAGTGAGCATATAAAAACAGTCGACTAAGAACGGTGGCGAAACAATGATTTTTCGTATGAATCGATTGAATTCTGAACGTTCGGAACTGTTTCAAACTTTTTAACAGCAAAAGGGGGTCGCGGACCAAAAAGTTTGAGAAACACTGGTTTAGAACAAAAGCAAGCAAGTAACATTTCTATTATTCATTTTATTTCTATGTGTCTAAGTACAATTTAATTGATATACGTTGTGTATTAGGATGGTTTTTAATTGAACTGAAGATTAGCATTAGAAAACCGTTTCGAACTATTTGCGTAGGGCTGGTCTCAATGTATGGGATAAAAGGCTCAGAACTTTTTACTTCCCCCCCAATATTTTTATAGTATATATAAATGTTTATAAATATTATTGCGTAAGTCGATATTACCCCCCCATTCTGAAAAGAAAACAATCAATGTAAATTTTAAATAAACATTATTTATTGAATT